TGTGGCAAGTCATGTCAGCACCTGAAAAACTTTTAGATTTTAGAGGTTTTCGTGTAAAGGAACACAACCTGTACTATCAACTAATACTTCTACTTACAAAAAATATATAAATGCAGGACGTTGACATTTTGAATAATATCTTACTGAGCACAAAACACCTGTTAAGTAATCCCCGAGCAAAGGTGTTGCTGGGACGATCGCTAACAAAAAAAAAAAAAAAAAATTAGTTCCAAATATTTACACTAGATAGCTGGGCTGGGCTGGGCTGGGGCCCCCCCCCCCATCCAAGGGCAGATGGAGATCACTTACAACAGCTGTACCTAGAAACCTTTCCAGTGCTTTCTGAAATTTTCTATTTGTGGCAAGTCATGTCAGCACCTGAAAGACTTTTAGATTTTAGAGGTTTTCGGATAAAGGAACTCAACTTGTACTATCAACTAATACTTCTAATATTAGTAGTTATATAGCAACCTCATGTTATATATAAAGAGCATATACACATGCCTTGTGCTGATGCTTAGCATTCAATAAATTGTAATGTTATAATCACTCAAATATTTTACATCAAACAATGTCAGACTCAAAATGAAAAAGCCCTGTAGTAAAGTATCTGAGATTCAGTAAAAGCTCATCTTCTCGACCTTTGTCTGGACTAAGGTTAGTAAATATTTATACATGTAAGTTCTGAAGACTCCCTTGTAGGATATACGGACACAGTTATACTACACTAAATGTTGTTTATGCGGTTTATATAGCAAGTAAAATTTTACAGGGTGGCATGTTCAACAAGTTTTGATTTCAGAGTTGTCCTTCTTTTAGACTGTTTGCCAACCAAGGCAAGAAAGCCTAATCTACTGTTTAACCCATAGCTGGGGTGGGGAGAAAAGCTGGACTCATACCAACAATATTTGTATGAAAGCAAACAAAAGCCTTAGCTGGAATTTGAACTGGGCCTGCCAATTTCACTGATACTTTGCTCTATGTATATCTATAGTAAAAGTGTACAATTTGGCAAAAGATTTTTTCTTCTGAGGTAGTTTTAAGGAGGACAATAGATGAAACTTTGAACTGTATTCAAGGTCAAATACCTACCATACCATTTACTTCAAATTACTGATTAACTTTTACACAATTATAAAAAGATAATAAATAGGTAATCTCTCAAACATGATTAGTTAAAAATACAAGTTCAAAAGGTTACAAGTTTGATAAAAAAGAAATCTACATGTAAAATTCTGTAACTTCCTTCATGCCCTCTAAAATAGCCATACATTGACCAATCAGAACCAAATTTGGGGATAAGTGCAAACAGGTAAGTGAGTACAAAGTACAGTTTGTTTTACTCGGGTGCATAGCTTAATACAATAAATTTTCATTAATTTTTTGGAAAAATTAAGTTTTATTATTCAACATACAAAATACTCTCACTATTTTAAAAACAATTTGATGATTAAAATAACAAACACTTATTTAATAAAAATGCAATATTGTTTTTTTGCATATCTTTTCTTTAAGTTTTTATATACAAAAATCCAGTTTCCAGTTTGCCCTGCGAGAACTATAAACAAATTACGAGGCCAAACACTTCAAAAAATTGGAATTTGGGTCCAGAAAGAAATATTTGTGCATAGCCAGTTGTATGTTGCATGCTCAAGAGTAAGAAATCCTAAGAATTTATTATTTGCAGTTAAAAAGGAAAAAAAAATTCTTAAAAAATAATTTACATCCTATAAAATTAAATTAAAGAAATTATTAAACCTGCAAAGTAGGTTTTTGTCAAAGTATTTCTATAAACAAATCAGCTTATTCAAATTTCATTGATTAGTTTGTGAAATTGAAGAAAATAGAGTTTGTAAATCTCAACAAAAAGTAACTTTAGCGATAACCTCTACAATATTTTTAAACACTGTGGGGATTTCAAAATGCATCAGTGCATTGCAGAAAATTCTACTTTATTTATATTTTTAAATTAGATTAACAAGCAGATTTAAGATGTTATAGTTTCCAAATCCTTAAATAGTAGAAGAGAAATGCTCATTTTAAAGCAAGCTCATCTTAAACGTTACTTTCTTTAAAACTAAAATTTCTCATCTTAAATGTTACTTTTTTAAAACTGGCTACATGGATAGTGTGATGGTTGACCACTCATATCAGAGTCTACTAGGGCAGCTAGCCAATCCTTGATGCAGACACCTACTCAGGCACATGTGTTTGTTCAACAACCACCTGTGGTTTATGCTGAGCAGACCTTAGTTACAGTTACTAGGAGAGTGCATTATCTGGTATGATCAAGTCTGAATATAGCCAGTATGCTCAAATCTGTCACGACTTGTGTCTTCATGCCGATACAACTATCAATGATTTCCAAATAGTTTTGTCTACCAATTTCACTCGTAAGGCTTAGGGCAATCTGTGGGATATGGTTTTCAGGCACTTTCGAAAGGTGCCATAGGCCATGATCGCCTCCCCAGGACAATAACATCAAGAAGTCACTTTCCTGATAAATTGACTGAGGAGATTCAAACCCAGGTCTCATAGTTAGAAAGATCACTGTTCTAATAAATCACCCAGATGCCTATGGACAGTGTAATATTTACTAGTACAGAAAGTGAACCCAGCATACAGATTTCAAGTCTGTTTTGTCCACATGCTCTTGAGGGGAAAGAAGAAGAAGAAGAAGAAGAAAAAAAAAAAAAAAAAAAAAAATTTCCTCTAGTTATATGTTCAGTAACAGAGAAAAATTGCGTTAAGGTGGAAACCCGTCTAACAGTTTGTTTTATATATATATATATATATATATATATATATATATAAAAGAAAGGAAGCAAAAAGGCAGGCTATACTACCATAGACACACCACTGCAGTATAAGTGTGGCACCCTTACATGTCCTAAGAGGTTATGGAATGCATACTGTTTTAACAGCAGATAAGAGCTAACAGTGCAACAATTCAAAGGATTATCTTTGTTTAAATATAAGGTTCAATGGCTAGTCTGTTTAAATATAACCTTATTGTGAAACTGATAATGCATAACATCTTTTTATAGATATTTGATTGTAGCTAGAGTCAAAAGTTCACCTGCAATCCAATTGAGAGCATTTTGAAAATATTTTAATGACCTTAAACAAAGTAAAAGTTAAACTGAGATTAAGTGTCTTTCCAGACATGATGAAGTTGTCAGCAAACTAGTCATTTTGTAGCGAAGCATGGGAAGAACCATCACATTTAGAGGACTCAAGAATGGAGGCAAATGAGCTAAAAGAACGTCATGTAAAATCATGGTGAATGAAAGAAGCATGTGGAAGCTATGGGGCATCCTGATTGGCAACAGTAGTTTTAATTTGGTTATCATTTGCATCTTAGGTAAGATGTAACTGAAAAGGAAATCATGGGAAATTCTGTTTGTAAAGTCTTTGGAGCCACTTTCAGTGTACAAGGATTGTATTCAGTGTTCATGTAACTTTAGGCCTTCACAATTCAAACTGTTACACTTATCACAGAAAATTAGCCACTGGAATAAATTTTCTGAGTAAATTACTGAATATGAGAGATAGAAAAATTCCATATGATTGACGAGATTAATTAGTTAATTTGACAGTGAGATATATAGGTGGAATAAAGTTATGCTTCCATAAGAACTTTTTGTATATGATCAGTTTCTAAAGTCCTGAAATTAAAAAAATTATATATATCTTAAGTTTCTTGTTGGGTAGTCTGAAAGGCCATATTTTGCACTAGCCTGCTTTAGATATATTTAGAATAAGTTTTTTTCTTTTGGCTGCTTTTCATGTTCAGTCACAAATGATCTGTCAGATTATTCAAGAAGCTGAAGTTTAGAGTAGAAGGAAAGGAGAGAGAAGAGAAAAAAAAACAAAAAAAAACAAAAAAAAAACAAATAAAAACGTAAGACCATATTGTTTTTCTTACAAAGAATATCTTTATTTTAAATTATTTTTCTTATCACACCTCATCTTCGTCATATATACAAATGTTTTTGGTTTTTTGCCAATTTTTATTATATTAAAATGGTCACAGACTTTATTCTTTTGATATATTTTCTATTAGTTGTGCTAAGAGTCAAGTCTTAAAGAGGGAAAGAGAATCAATTTTTTTTTAAACAAACAGAACCAATGAACATTAATGAACATCAGGATGAACAAGGAGGAAAGAGAGGAGGAGGAAAAGTTAGAGGAAAAAACATTTCCGATATAATAAAGTATAAAGAGGAGAGGTAAAAGGAACCACAACTAGTCATAGAAAAGAAAAAATATTATATATATATTTTATAATTATATATATATATATATATATATATATATATATATATATATATATATATATATATATATATGAGCTATTTATCACAGATATATTCTTACTGGCAGGTGACGTGATTATAATTACTAAGCTTAGCCTCAGGTCTCAATAGTAATAGGTAACCAGACTAGCTTGTTAACCATTACCCACACCTCTAGGTGCCCACTAACATGATTGTAGTTAATGACAAATCCTGCTTTGTATATATATTATTTGTATACAAATTTAACTACACGTGATGAATAAAGTTTCTGAAAAGCAACTCCTTACTAATAAGTTAAAATAAAATTCTAAAAAAATTATTCATAATTTATGATTAGATGGAATTATTTTGAAACAAATTATGATTTAATTTTCTAGTAAAATTTTATGACCAAATTTAAAATAGGGAGCTACTTTTCAGCCAGGTTTTTTAAGTTTTAATTCTATGAACACTACTCCCCAAATAGTCACCAAATAAATATTTTAGACATTTTTCCTTCACTCATATTCTTCTGTAATCATTTACGACTTTATTAAATACATTTTTCAAATTCATGCCAATTCATACAAATGTTCATGTTAGATAATGACGTGACTTCTCCAAGAAAAACAAGCGAGAAAAGTTCTGTTATCATGGAAAAAAAGTTCTGTAATGACATGGGGGGTGGGGCAAGGAGAAAAATGAGACCGACACAAGAGACTATAGCTGTCCCACAGACTTAATAGACGGTGAAGGGGTCTTCACATTCGAATTTGGATCCATCCTGTGTGGGTTCGGACGATAGAGTTTCTTCTTTTCCAGCTGGAACCCTGAACACAAGAACTTCGGCAAGACATTGTTGGTGGTGCCAAAGATGACGGACGCCGACTGGAACAAGAACTTCTTGACAATTGCCCAAGCCTTTGTGTCTTCTCGTAAGGTGAGATACAATTCGAAGGTTGGCGTACAATCGGGGTCATAGACCAATTTGTTGATTTTTTGGCAACATGCCTTTTGCTCAATACTGATAAACATTATGCAGCCCCGTATGCCGCATGGCTCACTACGGGACATGCGAAGCACATCCTGGGCAATACGAAAGATGAGCCCACGCGGGACCAGCAGCTCGCAGTTTAAGTACTGTTGACGACCCATAAAGATAAGTTCCTCGATTCGGTTTTCGAGATTCTTACATTGGTGATAATCCTGGGCGTCATCGAATTCTCCATAACTATTCATACCGGGAATGTGAGAGTCTATAAAAGAAAAACAAAATATTTAGGTAAGTTGTGTAAAAAGTTAATTAACAAAAAAAAAAAAAAAAAAAAAAAAAAAAAAGAAAAGAAAAAAAAGATCTTTCAAAGTAGTGAGATATATCATACACACACTAAACAAGTGAAGATAAGGAATCAATATTCATTGAATTTTTTTTAAGTGCTAGTTTTCTTTAACAACAACAAAAAAAAAAAATCGAAAACAGGTTTAAATTTGGAGGAAGAAAAATTTTATTCATTCACTTTTAGTTTTAAATTTATTAAATCTTTGCGTTGAGAGGAAGAAAATGCTAAATTTTGAAACCTAATTTCAATTTAATCTTAGGGTCTGAAAATAAAAATAAAGATTAATTGCAAAGGATCAAAGTTAATTTCAACCGTAAACCGAATCGTTTATATTTCTATATAAGACAAAAAAAAAAACAAAAAACAGCACGACAGAATTGAGAAATAAGCGAAACCAAATTTTCGAGAGGTTTTGGGGGAGGGGGCATAAATGACAATTTGAAAGATGGGCTACTGTAGTAGTCGCACGATCGTCTACAAAGACGAATTACCTACTTATTTTTAGATACAATTCAGCAGATTCTAAAATTTGATGAGCAGACGATGCAACAATTTTTTCACTATTGCTTCAAATTCCATTATTTAAATCGGTAGTAATTTTTTTAAAAACTGATTTGCAAAATTTTTTTTTATTGTAGCAACAAGAATTAGTCTTCTGTTGAGAAAATTTAAGAATGTTAACGTTAAAATGAAAAAGAATTGAAATTTGGTTATTTTGCAAATTACGATCGTTCGTTAAATGATCATTTCTTTCTTTGAAGCAGATCATTAAATTTAAAACAATGTTTCATTAAAACTTTATCATTAAATATTTTAATATATTGCGGGGGGGATCACGCAACAGCACCACATTTGTATTTTTCTGAAAAGAAAAGGTTTTGAAAATGAAAGCTGCATCACCACAAGATAGATAATTGCCTTCTTTGAGACATTGAACAAAACACCCCGGAAGGAAAATGATAGAAAAAGGAATGTCATTTTTAGAAGAATGGTTATCGATTTGGGGGGAAGGAAGTGAATGGATACAGAGATATTTTTATCCATGTTGCACTTAGAAACCAAGAGACCATATCAGCTGATGAAAAAAAAAAATAAATAAAATAAATAAAATAAAAAAAAATAAAAAATCAATGGATGAATGGACCTCATTAACATATTTCATGAACAAGCAGGTAGTTACAAGGAAAGGACATATCTAAAAACGGTATTCTAAATTTAACATTTTTTCTATTCTACTAAGTGTTTTTAGTAGTCTATGTTCTTTTACTAGTATCATCATGGCTGTCATTCATTCATTTTTTTTTTTTAAGACATCTTCCATATTTTCATTTTATTGCGAAAATGAAGTCAGTGAATGCAAAAAAAAAAAAAAAAAAAAAAAAAAACCAAACGATGTTAAAATTTTAAATAGCTCAGAAAGAATGAACACCCTAAGTAAGTTCCAAAATAAAAGAATTTTGCCCCCCCCGTTAAATCTTGTGCACAGCACCTAGTGAAGAAACTAATTTTTTTCGTTTTTTAAAGTAGTTTAATAATTAAAGAAAATTACCAAAAAAAAAAAAAAAAAAAAAAAAACAGAAGAGGCTGAATGATCAATTAAAAATTTGGGTAGACTTATCCGTATTAAAGTAATTTTTAGCTTAAAAATAGGAAATTAATTATAATCGCATAAAAAAACATCAAGAAACGCCAAAAAGATTTAATTTAGAAATAAAGTCTTTCTTGACATCAATTTTTACTTAAGTTACGTATTTCCACAATATGAAACTGAATGCTTACCTTTTTGTGTGCATCCACGCATTGTTATTTAAAAATAGACAAAACAAAGCCACTAGCCTAGGTTCTTTGACAACTTAAAAAAATATCCCAGCAAAACAGATTGCTTTTAGTTTCAGTTTAAATTTTAAACTTTAAAAATAAAAGACCAAGAAGATATTCCAACCAATCTTAAGAGAACTGACAGTTTCCACAAAGCATCTACCATTCATTATTTAGTAGTAGCAGCAAAGAGGGAAGTTGCGGCCTAAACTGAAACATTAATATTATGAATGTGTGTCGCATTTATTATGAGCCATTCTTACAAGGAGGCCTTCAAGGCAGAGATCGAATTCAGACATCAGACAAAAAGAATAAACAAGAAAATTTTTAAGTTAAAATCACTTTTACTCCAGTTCTTACATTTATTCACTATTGGGTTCGTATAGTCAATACGAGCCGGTTTTAGCTAAAAAGAAAAGTAGTTAAAACAGATCGATGTAATTAGAGATTGTACAATACACTAGATAAATTTCTGAAATATCTATATTTGCTTTCATTTTTAAAAGCAGTTTTTTTTTTATAGTTATTAAAGAAAAGTAAAACATATGCAAGAAAAAAAAAAAAAAAAAAAAAAAACAGCAGTTAACGCCAACCTTTGTTCTTAAAATGAAAGATTGCAGGGAAAACTAATAAATAAAAAGGTTGTTTATTTCAGAAGTAAAGGTAAAGCTATTGAAATTTATCATATTGCCTGTTTGGAATCAGAGAGAAAAAGTACTAGAAAAAGGATTTTAGAAGTACTTGAATGGTAACTAAACTGTCTACCTAAAGACATTGACGTCACTTATTCAATGATTAAATTATAAATATTACTGAACAAAAAAGTGTCATCACCACAAATGCAAATATAATGCTTATAAATAATTTTAATTGAAAGATTTTAAACTTTCAGGAGTAGGAGGTTAGATGAAGCATTTCAATTTCATCATTAAGAAATTAATTCAAATTATATTTTATTTTAACTCTAACTACTACAAAAAAAAAGTCCTCTAAATTGGACTTTAATTGATCAAATGCTAGTACCTAAGAAACACGTGTTATTGTTAAAATTAATTATGTGGGTTGATGGTCGAAAAGGAATTAATTTCCGATTGACACGAAATTGTTATCAGCAGAATTGGATGATGGAAAAGTTAGATTGACAAAGACCATCAGTACTTTCATCTGTAGGAGAAAAGTTTTTCTTTACTAGTCAAAGTAAGAGATAATTTTTCCAAATAAAAAGAAAAATAGATTGAAATTTTCAAACAAATTTCCTTAAACTGAGAAGTAGATTTTTTTTTGGTTATTTTCCGTCTCAACTAATTCGACTGAATAGTAATTTTTTTTAATCTGAAAAACCCTCAACCCCGCCGAATTTGGTTATTAAAGGTTCTTAATTAGTGAGGTGGGGAGAATTAACCCCCAGGTGAATAATTTTTCTTTCAATGAAATGCTAAGATCTTGCCTTTATGAGAAAAAAAAAAAAGTTTAAATAAGGCTTAAAGTTAAATTTCAAGCATTTGATAAAGGGACATTTTTAAAATTTAGGTTAAGCCCAAATTCTAGGCTAGAGATAAAGTCTATTTCAATAATTTGTTTAACCATTCAAATCGGAATATAAAAAAGTTACTTCAAGAATAAATGAAGAATTAACTTCTTTGGATACGATAAGATGCTAGTTAATATTTTAATAAAGAGCAAGAAGAACTATGAGATGGGGGAATGTCACAGTATATAGTAGCAGCTGAAGATGGAAAGAAGAGTCAAGGAGATTGTAGTAGGGGAAATACGAACATAAATTAACACAGATTTCAAGAAAATTCAGTTAAGTTTATGATAATGTGGAGATCAAAATCGAATATTGTTTTTTAATTTACACTAAGGGTGATTTCTTCACAGACTATTGAACTGTGGACGACTTTTTTTTTTTTTTTTAAGAGAAAATTATGTTATTGAAGAATTGATCTTTAGGAATGAAATTCAGAGGAACCGAAAGTATATAGAATTCATATACTTTGAAAAATGTGAATTCGATTGAAAGACTAAAAATCAAGTTTGATGAAGACGAGTACTTGTAATGAGTTTATTAGTGAAAATAAAAATGAGATTATATTCTCTTCAATAAGCAATTGTAGGATTTCTTTTATGACTAAAAAAATTAAGTAGTTTGATATCAAGTAATGTTAAAATAAGTTTATCCTTTAAATTAAGGCTGACATACAAGCTAGGCGTGATGGTTATTTTGAAGATGCAACACAAGATAAAACAAATTCATTGAAATGGTAGGTATTCAATACGGATTTTAAAAGATGGAATACAGAACAGTTTGACAAATGAAACTGGAAGAGGAATTGTTAAATAAAACAGGACGTAAGAGTCGACCACCCGATCAGTCATGTGAATAACGAATATAAATACATTTTTTTTTTTTTTTTTTTTTTTTTTAAATATAACTATAATTATACTAAGGAAAAGTACAGTAATAAGAGGACAAATAACTACCAGTCATCGTTGGCCATTAACGAAGAAGTGGACGAACAAGATAGAGACTAAGAAAAAGTGTTTCTTTATAAAACACACTTACCGGCATGATTACCAAATTTATCACGTTCGAAATCGGATTCTATTATAGACGAAACTATTGCCTTTTCTTTTTTGCTTTTGTTAGTTCCAAGGATTTGTCCTGCCTTGTGGACCAGTTTGTCCTGGAGTGCCTGGGCCCGTTTTGTTGGGGCTACCAAGGGTTCTTTCTTCAGAGAATACAGTTCAAGTGGTTTGTTCATAGTGATTATTTAGCTTTTTTTCTGTACTGGATGGGTCGAATAAGTTAATATTTCGTGCGTCGAGAGGTAGAAACTTCAATAAATATATTGAATTTAACTTAAGTAACGAAGGTTTTTCAGGGTAAGTTACTTGGCTAATCAGCTTTAGAAACAGCTGATCGGCAGCGAAGACAAAGAATGGAATAAAACTCTGAACTGATTTAATAAATAAGCGTAAGGAATTACTTAGCAGTGAATTCCTATGGTCCTTGGCTCAATGCTAACTGGACACGTAGCTATGATATGGTCTCCTCACGCGAGATAGAAAAGAGAATGATCCATAGAAGACGGAGAGGATGTGTGTTGCTCGCTGCGAAAAGACGACCTGAAAATTTAACATCTATAAACAGTGGTCGTGGGGGGAACAAAAAATTTCAACTGCTACAAGCAAACCAAGCCGGTTTCTCCCGACTACCTCAAGCAGCTGTCCATTTATACTCTCAACCCAGCTGACATTTGGAAGGTAGAGTTTAGAGGCTTAAATCCTGCTATCTGATTGGTTGATTTAAAGAAAGGTCAAAGCCTGCACAGTGGTTACTAAGATGAGGTCTTATTCGTTCGTTCGTGTTTTCTCTCTATTTTCTGGTATTTTTCCTCTTCTCTTTTTTTTTTATGTTCACAAAAGACAAAATTAAAACCCAGAAATAAACGCTGAAAAGTTAACAGGTATTTTATTTGATCTCATATTGCGAGCATATCTAACTCGTACAACGAATGGCACTTTTTTTTTCTTTTTTTATAAATTATCGTACAAAAATTACAGCTTGAAAAACTACTGTTTTTATTTTTATTTATTTTTTTTTTAATAATAAAGGAAAATTACTATATAAAAAATCTAAAAGTAGAGGTTTATTTCCCTACTTGTAGTTTATTATTTTTAGCAAGCAGTTTGGGGGTTAAACAAATGCAAATCTAACTTATTCTGTAAATTCTCATTTAAAAACTTACAGTAAATTTAGAAAAATATAGTAAATAAACTAAAGTTATTTTAGATGAAAAAACTTTCACTTCATACACACACAAACCCATACACACACGCGCGCGCATACACACACACACACACACACACACACACACACACAATGCGTTTTTTAGTTACTTTTCAATTTTTATTTTTCAGTACGCATGGATATTAATACGCCTCACCGAAAAGCCTATCAAATAAATAAATATACTATTTGATTAGATTTTATTTGGGGGGCTGATAATTTTTCAGCACCTATCGTAATGAAATGACCTTTTAAGATTTCATCAACATTGCACTTTTCCGAACAATTATAATTATAAAATTTAATATTTATTTGGAATAATTTCAGTTTTTCATTCAGTCATTTTTGAAAATGTGTTTTTAGTTTACCCTCATTTTTAAATCAATCAATCAGGTATTCAGTATTCACTTATTGTTTAAAATTTGCTATGGGAGCAAGAGTAAGAAGACTGTTCTATCACAATTTGTTCATCTATCTATCTATCTATCTATCTATCTATCTATCTATCTATCTCACTCTGTTCATCATTGTGTGTTACTGCAACTTTACATAAATGGAAGACACAAAAAGTAAAAGTACTTGACTACTTGAGTCTTTAATTAAACACAAATTTGAATAAATTGTGATGATTTTCACAGTAAAAAACAAAAAAAAACAGCGTATTCAAAAAAAATAAAGTAAGTCGACATTTCAAAAGAAAAAATCTCAATGGTCTCTCAAGCTAAAAATTTACGATTATTTTTGATTTTGACAAATCTTATCTCTAAAATGCTAAAAATATATGCAGTTATTAATAAAGAAAGACTAAAGAGAAGAGATTATCTCAATGTAGAAAGAATTTTATTAATAAACTCTTAAAAGTTATCTTTGTTTAGTGTTCTGTGTTGTTCACAAATAACTTTGCTTTGCTTTATGAATGATTTCAAAAATGAAAAAGCATTTAAAGCTGACAGAGAAAAAACAGTCACTGGTCTGAAGTTTAAATGCTTTATTTATTTTACACTCTAAAGGTGATATTTTTACATTATTAGTCTGCTGCTACAAGGCTACGTGTTTAGTGTTCGGTAACTAGTCAGTGGAGATCGAACTCAATTTCTTGCTAAAATCAATAAATTATTTTTATGTCTCGAATAACCCCAGTTCGTTTCTCTCACATATGAACTAAACTTGTCACAAAAAAAATAATAATTAACTTGTAAAAAATCGGTAACGTTTATTTTTAATTAATGTTTTCTTTCTGACTTATTCAGACATAAGGCTACGTCTCTAGTGAGTATCGAATTCAATTGGCAAATCGCTTTGGATTGCCAAAAAAAATGTTATTGTAGTAGGGTTAACATTGTTGTTAGTTAACTTTTCTTAACAATTAGACCTCTTTTTGAGCTGCACAACAAAACTATACGTTCGTCATTTCTCTGGAGTGGAGTCGAAAGATCTACTTCAAATATCGTGTGTGTAAAAAAAAAAAAAAGAAGAGAATAGGTTCGATATTGAAATAAGAAGTGTTCCGAAGTTCCATTCATGGCCTTATTTAAATAAAAAAAGAAAATTTTACAATAACTGTAATATTGCTTCAGTTTCTTGTGTACAGTAAGCTCCACTGTTTTCATTTAAAAAGTCTAGCTAAAAATGACTAAAAACACGATCGAAATTTTTCAGTTTCTTCTTGCCTATAGAAGCGCCTATCATAAAACGATGCTGTTAGTCAGTGTTACTCATCAAATTTCATAGATTCGTTAGTGTCACGAGTTCAATCCTTGATAGGGTGACTACCTCTGTAGTGGTCTTGCTCAATGCTATGTAGGATGTCTATTGTCTATTATTGCCATTATTGTAAGTAGCATGATAGATAGTACATAGTACTTATTGTTGTGTTTTCGATCTTCACTGACACTAGTACTTTTACTAAGATTAGTTTTTTAAGTAAAAAAAAACGATTCGCCAAGACAAGAGCATTAGTTAAAAAGAAATTAGTTACAACTACAAGTCTGACAGTCTTGTGTTTTAGTAGTTAAAAAACTAAGCTCAGTACTTGACTTCATGCTTCATGGAGTATTTCAGTTCTTTTTTCTGATCCTTTGTTTAATTAAGCTACACTTATCGATATCAAACTCCAATGACAAAATTAAGAAAAAAAGGAAATAGTTGGCAACCGGTGTTTAATTCGACTTGTTCTGCTCTGAATAAAAAACCTGTTTTTTAGTTAATGGCAGGGAATCTTAACTTTCTAAGTGGCATTTTTTTTCAATTTTTTATTTTTAATAACAAAAAAAAAATGAAAATGTTGACAATATTTTTCACGTAGATTGACTAGATATACGAAACACCGTAGCTTAATTAAATCATAATTTAATTCTTTCTATGTCGATCCTTTTTTTTATAAAATTATTTTACAAAAATGATGAAACACACACGTTCATGCGCGCATTTATGAAGCAAGTAATTAATTTTAAATGTTGATGTTAAACAAACTTATTTATTTTATTTAATTAATAGTAATTAAATTATTTGAATAAACTGTTTTATAGATTTAAACTTAAAATATAATTATTTCATTACACATAATGATTTTATTTTTATTTTATTTTAATTTAAATAAATATTATTTTAAGTAAAAAAAAATTGAATATATTACTTTTTTTTCCATCTATGACTTTTTCCCAATCCAAACAATTTTTTTTTCATAAATAAATTTAAAAGTAAAACAGAGTACCCACCACGAGTAACCAGTTACTTTTTTTCCCTAATCGTGTTATTTTTTAATTTCACAACAAATACGTTCTGACTTTTATGATCTGTTCGTATTTTTCTGCAAACTGTTAAGTTTTTAGAGGAAACGAAAAATAATTTAATTGAAAATAAAATACATAGTGTTAGTAGTTAGTTACTTTAAAATGTTACTGCTGTTTTTAGTTTTAGAGAGTGTTGACTGTCGTCAGCCTCGTTCCAACAAAAGCAAAATTTCTACTAGAAAAAACATATTTATATTGTTACAATGTCCCTGTCTCCTAGTAATTAGTGTATTTGAAAAATCTTCAATATCAACATGATGTTTATACATGTTTCTCTAAGAGAAGATTTTTATTTAAACTTTTAAAAAATTGTGTAGAAGACAGTATGGTTGGGTTTACCACACGTCGCGCATTGAGGGTTCTGTCCCAGTGATGTAAGCTGTCACTATCGGTATTCGTTTGCGTGCTTACGTGCGTGAAAGCGAGCCTCGAAGCTTAAGGGAGGGGTATTTGTTCATGGAAACACTTTTTCTTAAACATGACATTGAAAACTAAAACTTAAAAAAAAACTATCCCGGTTCGAAGCTTTGAATTTACGCTCATTTTTCGATACCACAAGTTAAAGTACGAACCATTTTTTATAGTAGAATTTTTGTCTTTCTACGAAAATAAATAAATAACATTAATTAAAATTCGTAAGACCATTGATTGAAATAATTAATTTTAATTAAAACCATTGTAATAATTAAGCCTTTCTGAAAATAATTTTCTTCATTTTTCCTCCAGTAGTACTGTTATTGTATATGCCGCGTCTCTTCACAACTTCCTATCCCTGGTGGCTCTTCTTAGCAGTTTTTCTCCTTTGCTAAGCAGCCCGTATACTTCTACCCATTCACATAAGCCCGTCAGGTGAACTGGCTCACTGCCTTACCCTATCTCTCTTGGCCACAATATACCCCGTGGGGGTTACGTTTTCCAAGCCCACCTTCCTCATTATGTATCCATGGAATTTCAGTTGCTTTTTCTTGATTCTGAGTATAAATGTTCTTTATGTTGCCATTTTCTTCCTTGTTGCTTACTCACTCCATTCATGGAATTCTCAGTATCCTTCTGTAGAACCACATTTCTGCTGCGTTGATCTGTAGGAAGATTGTCCAGCATTACTTCATAAGAGGATGGATATCACATAGCAAACTAGCATTCTTTTCTTTGTTTCAAACGAATTTTTTTCGTTTCTTGA